CCTTCAGCTAGCTTGCAGATAACATGCGAAGCACTTGGTAAGGACTCGGTGAATTTTTGCCACTGGTAAATGAGATAATGCACGTCCAGTCCAAAAAGCACGAAGTATTCCATAAACAGAAGCAGTAAGGCCTGGGTTCGAGACTCCAGCAGTTCCCCAGCACCAGCGCCAGTGCCCACGTTAGCAGTGGGTGGGTGAGAAGGGACTGCAGAGAAACTTCTTGTTCTATGGAGCTCCAAATTGGTCCCCAAGTTTGGTGAGAAATGACAGAATCACCACTGCAGCTCCCACTGCCAGGACCGCTTCCACCAGACCAGCAGAGGCCGCCCTTGAGCCCGGGTCAGGACCAACGGCTTGGGTCTAACGCGTACGCTCCCCGCTGCAGCCGCTAGGAGGCGTACGCCCCGCCAGGGTCCTGGTGTGCGCACGCGTAGTTCCCTTCCGGCATCGTCCAGCCCCTCAGCCAGTTACGTTCATGCGCCGTCTTCCGCGCATTCTCTGACGTCAGAGCGGCGGCGAGCCGAGTGGAAGTCCAGCGCGCGGACCGCTAGAGGAAGTGGGGCTGGAGGAAAAGGAGGGGCCGGAAGCGGGGTCAGCCGCGCTACCGCTGGCCGCCCGCGAAACCGGAAAGAGGAGGTGCCGGCTACGCGGGCGTGGCCTCGGGTGGCGGAGGGCTCTGTGATTGGCCGTCGAGTGTGGCGACGGCGACGATTGGCCCCTGAGTGCGGAGCGCGCTGAGACTGGGTGGCGGCCGTTGAAATTCAAATGTCGCGGGCCTGGCGCGGGTCGGGAAGGGGCCCGAGGGAGTGCGCGCGTGCTGTGTGTTGCTATCCGGCTCGCGCGGTCCCGTCAGCCCGGCCCCGTCCTGTCGCATTGCCACTGTTCCCGCGTGGCGATCGACGCGGACATGGAGCCGCAGGTGAGTGCGGGGCTCCGGCAGGGGCGGGGACGGCGGCCCGGAGCGCGAGGCCACGTCCGCCCGCCGCCCCGGCCTCGGCCTCGCCGCCCGCGTCCCGGGCCGTCCGGAAGCTCAGGGTCGGCCTCTCCGCGCCTCCCGTGCGCTCGCGAGCAGGGGGATTCTGAGCTCGAGTCCCTGCTGATCGCGTTGTGCTGCCTGCTTTGTGCCTGGGGTATAGGCGAGGGGAGCAGGAATGGGGTGACCTGGGCCGAAGGACCCCTCGTTCTCTCTGCTGGCCGGAGTTCTCGGGAGATTGTTGCCCGGTAGGAGCGCAGCTGGCTTAGGTCTCCTCTCCTAGGTGACCGCCTGCGCCCCACTACCGTGTGTCCAACCCCTCTCTAGCGGTGGCTGCTGGGTGTGACAGTGCTCTCCTGTTGATCCTTTGTTCACTAGACTTAAACGTTTAGATTCATCCAAAGGCAAGATTCAGCCCGAGGAGAGGCTATGTACGGAAGAGAGGAAAAGTAGGAAAAGCCTTCTCCGATTTATTCACCCGGTATTGACTGAGCATCAACTGTGTGCCAGGCACGGACACGGGTACTAAGGGTATAGCTGTGAACCATACACACCCCGGCCGGCCTTGGGGAGCTGTCGCTCCGCGGAGACACAGCAAATGTAGTAAGTAGATTATGCACCTATTAGAAGGCAGTGAGTTCGGTGGAGAAAAGGAAAAACGCAAGCAGGATGAGGCAGGAGACAGGCCAGCGAGCGGCACGGTGGGGTATTAAATAGGTGGAGGCAGCCACCCCAGAGGTTAGGGCTGGATAAAGACCTGCAGGGGAGGGCAGTGTGCAAGTGGACACTGAGGGAAGGGCAGAAGGAATGTACTAGAGCATTGGCCCTGCCGTGGTGCCGCACGGAGGCCAGAGTGATGGAAGGAGTGACAAAGGGGGAAGTGGTGGGTGGAAAACAGGCGCTGGCGGTTGGGGTTGCTGAAGACGGTTTGCTTCTTACAGGATCCAGTGTGAGGACTTCGATCTTTTTGTTTGGTTTTGCCTTTTGGGGGGGCTGTATTGGGGATTGAACCCAACTGAGCTGCATCCCCAGCCCTATTTTACTTTTTGAGACAGGGTCTTGCTAAATTGCACTTGCTAGTGTTTTTTTTTAATATTATTTTATTGGTACATTTTAGGTGCACTTGCTAGTTTTGAGCTTGTGATCCTCCTGCCCTGGCTCCCGGGGTGCTGGGGTTACAGGCATGTCCTTTCATGTCCCTTCACGCCTGGCTTGCGCAATGGACTTCACTGGCCGCTGTATGGCTACTGGACTGTAAAGCGGTAGGGTAAGGATGGAAGCGAGGAGATCTGTTAGGAGTGCGGCCAATTTTCTCAACTTACGTTTTTAAAAACAATTTTTAATTTTTATTAGTCCATGTTTGCAATACATAGTGATTACATTCATCATGGGGAGTTGGTACATGTTATAACACATCTTCTTTTTACTTCTCCTTCCTCTCCATCTATTTTTTTCTTCCCATGTGCAAAAGATCTATTTCCTCATTTATTATCTTATCTTTTAATTGCTCTTTATTTATACTTTGGGTTTCTCATATAAGAGAAACCATGCATTACTTAAGCTGTGTGACTCATTGATTCCACTTAACATTATGGCCTTGAGGTGCATCTATTTTTCAAATGCCTCAGATTTATCCTTTATAATAGAGTAGTACTCCATTGTGTGAAAATATCACATTTTTAATCCATTCCTCTGTTGATGGACATACAAGCTGCTTCCAAGATTTAGCTATTGAGAATTGTGCTGCTGTAAACATGGGTGTGCATGTATCACTGTCTTTCAAGAAGACACCTAGAAGGGAAATAACTGGGTCAAATGGAATTTCAATTTTAATTTTTTTGGGAATCTCCATAGTGGTTCTACTAGTTTACATTCCCATCAACAATGTAAAATGGATCCTTTTTCCCTACATTCTTGCCAACATCTGTTATTATTTGATTTTTTCTTTTTCTTTCTTTTCTTTTTTTTTTTTCAGGAGCAACCGAGGCAGGGCTTTATTGAGGAAGGAGCTGCCGGGCTGCCTCGAACAATGGCGAGAGAGGATTATTTGATTTTTTGATGATGGCCATTTTTCTGGAGTAAAATGGAATCTCAGCATTTTTTTTTTTGGTACCAGGGATTGAATTCGAGACCTTGTGCTTATGAGGCAGGCTGTGGCACCACTGGGCTAAATCCCCGGCCCTTCACTATTGTTTTAATTTGCATTTCTCTCAAATATGTGAACATTTTTCTATGTATTTATTTGCCATTTGTACTTCTGAGAAGTATCTGTTCTTTTGTTGCTTTTGTTTGTTTTTTAAAGACAGAATCTGGCTATGTAATTCCGGCTGGTCTTGAACTCAGAGCCCAGGCTGGCCTCAAATCATAGGGATCCTCCTGCCTCAGCCTCCCAAGAGTGCTGGGATTTATAGGCGTGGGGCACCATGCCCAGTTCTGTTACCTACTTTTTATTTTTTTAAATACATTTTATTTTATTCCTTCCCCCCATGTTGCCTACTTTTTGATGGGTCTTTTATTGGGGTCTTTTATTTTTGAGTCTTTTATGTATTCTAGATATTATTAACTCTCTGAGATGCAGCTGGCAGAAATGTTTTGCAATTCTGTAAGGTTATTCTCTACTGGTTATTTCCTTTGACATTCAGAATTTTTTAAATTTGATTTTTTTTGCCAGATGTGGTGGTGCACATCTGTAATCCCAGTACTTGGGGAGGCTGAGGCAGGAGGATCACTGTGAGTTCAAGGCCAGCCTGAAATATATAGTGAGACCCTGTCTCAAAAAAAAACAAACAAAAAAACTAAAGATGGGCCAGGGATTTAGCTCAGTGGTTTCATCCCCTCCTGCGCAAGCGCAAGGACCCGAGTTCTATCCCTGGTACCAAAAGAAAAAAACCTAAAGATGGTTTTCTTTAGTTTTGTGAGGAATGCTATTGATACTTTGATTGGGACTGCATTAAATTTATATTTCAGTTTTGGTAATGTGACCATTTTTACAATATTGGTTCTGCCTACCTGGGAACGGGATATCTATTTCTCTCTCTCTCTCTCTCTCTCTTTCTCTCTTTCTCTCGACAGGGTCTTGCTATGTAGTGCAGTCTGGCCTTGAACTAACTCTGTAGCCCAGGCTGGCCTCCACCTTGTGGGACTCCTCCTGCCTCAGCCTCCCGAGTGCTGGCATTATAGACATCTGCCACCACACCTGCCACTGTGTCTTTTTTCTTTCTTTTTTCCCTAAAGATTTGTCTATGTTTTGTTTATTCTTTCAAAGAGCCAGCTCTGTGGACTCATTGATCCTTTTTTCTTTTTTTCTTTTTGGTAACGGGGATTGAACTCAGGACCTTGCGCTTGCAAGGCAGGCGTGGGACCAAGCTAAATCCCCAGCCCTGATCCTTTTCTTTGTATTTTTTAAAAAAATTTTAATTTCATTAATGTCTGCCCTGATCTTATAATTTCTAAAAAGATACTGTTAAATGTCACCTGGGAGTTCACATCACCTCAGATGAGACCCACAGGAGTGACGATCTTGATCACACATGATGGTGCCTTAGGGAGGGTGGGTGCGTGGAAGAAGCAGTAACAAATGTTTAGATTCTGGATGTATCTTTTTCTTTAGGGTGTGGTGGGGCCAGGCTCTTCTGGTACAGTTCAGGCCGGCGCTGTGAGTTTGTCCGTAACCCAGCCTGGTCTGAAATGTGCAGTGCTCTTGCCTCAGCCTCCTGAGTGCCTGGATTGCACCTGTAATCCGTGCCTGGCTCTAGATTCTGAACATGTCTTGATGGTAGAGTCCCCATGCTTTGCTGACAGATGAGATGTATTTAAGAGAGAAGCTGAAGTTCAAGGCCAGCCTGAATTACTTATCAAGACCCTGTCTCAAAAAAAAAGAGAGACAGAGAGACGGAATGTGGTAGCAAACGCCTGTAATCCCAGCACTGTACAAGGCTGAGGCTTGAGGATTGCAAGTCTGAGCCCAGATTGGGCAATTTAGTGATTTAGCGAGATGCCAACTAAAAGTAAAAAGGGGGCTGTAGGGAGATTGGGAATGTAGCTCAGTGCAAAGGCCCTGGGTTTAGTCCCAAGGGTGGGGAACGAAAGAGAGAGAGGACTCTGGGCTTTTTGGCTTGAGCGACTGAAAGGTAAAGTTATTATCAAGTGAGATGGAGAATCTGAGGTATGGGCTGGGATAGAAATTTGACAGCTCTCAGCACGTCCGTGATAGACGGAGCCGTGGGAGGATGGGAGTCTGGACAGCGTCAGAGACAGTCGGTGCAGCTGGAGCTGAGGAGGAGCCACCAGCAGGACAGCCCGGAAGGGGTTTCCTAAAAGAATAGCAAGCGATTGCGTTGCATGCTGCTTGATGGGTCAAGAGCCGTGAAGATGAAGCCCTGCTTAGCAGCGTGAAGTTTCCGGTACACTTGCATGGCACTTCGGTGGGATGTGGGAATGAAAGCCTGGTCAGAATGGAAGGAGGAGAGCAGAGGACACGTGAAAACTGCAGACTCCGTTTGAGGCGCTTTATTGCCGCGGGTGGCGAGGAAAAAGCGTCGGGGTTGGCAGGGGAAGGCAGTCCACAGACTCTGGGTTAGGAGCGCACGTGGTGCACGATGACTGGAACGCGCCGTGTGTAAAGTTGGCATGGGGCAGAGAAGGAGGTGCTGAGTGCGGGGAGGCTGGGGCCAGGGCACTGGGAGGGCTTGTCCAGGAGCAGCCCCCGCCCAGACCTCGTGGGGTGATCGAGAAATATGGCAAATACTAATTTTTTTTAATTGAGGGAGGGAAGTAAAAAGAATTAAGATGTAGGGCCGGGTATTTAGCTCAGTGGTTCTGGCACCTGCCTCTCAAGCGCAAGGTCCCGCGTTTGATCCCCGGTACCAAAAACAAAAAAGAATTAAGATGTGTTATGTGCATGTACCAACTCCCAACAATGATACTGCAAACATGTACTAACACATGTTTTGTAATTTAAAAAATGGGCTGCAGTGAAAGCCACATTGCCACCAACCCCACTACAAAATCCTCCCTCTAGTTTCAAACACAATTATCTCATCATTCTTGCCACTTTCTGAAGCACTTCTGAAATCTTCTTTCCCAAGTGTCTTAGTTCTGCTGTTGTGGCTGCCTGAATGTCCTGAATCAATTAAAAACATTTATTTTTCAAGGGTTTTTTGGGGTTTTTTGCGGGGGGGGGGTACCGGAGATCAAACTGAGGACCTTGCACTTGTGAGGCAGGAGGTGGAACCTCTGAGCTAAATCCCTGGCCTTTTTTCAAGGTTATTTTGACTTTGGGGAAGAGCCAGAGTCACATGGTGGCAGGTGGGTGAATAAGGGGAGAGGTCGCTCTACTGGCCAGGGTTTACAAGCCTGCCTTACTGTCGGATGGCATTTGGAAGCGTCCACGCATCTTTACCACATCTGGGACAGGCACCGAAGAGGGCTTCACAGCTGCTCTTGCTCACCCGCTGTTCAGGGGTCGGTGAATGTGTAATCTAGCAGGCCTGTGCTTATGCTTCTCTTTCTGGAAGGTTGGGGATCACTGTGTCCAGTTCGATTTCAGTATAAATTCTGAGGAGATAGCTCTGTAGTAGATCTACTGTGGTAGTGTAGAGAGTACGGGTTATAAAAATTTTCATGTCTGATGTTGAAATACTTAATAAAAATTTAATTTTAGTAATATATTTGATTAACTTAAAATAAGTATTCTGTGCACATTTCTACAGGTAGCAGGAAACAAACAGTAGCAGGAAAAAAAATGCCACCTCCTTTTTGCCCTTTTCTATTTGAATAGTTTGGATGTGTTACAATGTGAATATTCCTCCATAGAGGGACATTTACTTCCTTTTTAGTTTTCCATTTCCATTAGCCCGTGTTTGCAGGACATAAGGGTCCCACTCACCGTGGGATGTTGGTCCCTGCACATAACGCATCTCAGTTCCCTCCACCTCCCCTTATTTTGCCAGCATCAAATTCATTTCTTTTTTTTTTTTTTTGTACCAGGAATCAAACTCGGGTCCTTGCGCCGGCACAGCAGGCAGCAAAACCACTGAGCTAAATCCCTGGCCCTCAAATTCATTTCTTTATCCTGAAGTCCTTATGAGGTTAATCATCATACACACAGATTAACAGCCAGGCTAATGGGCCAAAAACAGGACATCTAATTTCATGCCTTCACAAAGCATCTGTGTAGCAGACGTTATGCTAAATGCTTTGGCTGTCCAGCCGTGAACAAAGCAGTTGAGTTGTTGTGGTACTCACAGTCTAATGTAGGAAAAGAGATAAACGAGACCAAACCAATGGCATAAGGTGCTTCATAGTTTTCTCTGTAGTGAGGCTCTGAAGATATATTCTTGAATATATCTTTTTTTTCTTGGTATCAGACATTTCTTTCTTTTATTTCTTTATTTATTTTTAATATATCTTATTGTATTACAGTCACTCAAACTGTCTTTCTCAGGGCCAGGGATTTAGCTCAGTGGCACTGTATCTGCCTTTCCAGCGCAAGGTTCTGAGTTCGATCCCCAGTACCAAAAACAAAACAAAAACTGTCTTTCCCAGTGGGAACTTAGACTTGGAACTTAAAGATCAGCAGAGGGGGCCAGGGATTTTTTCAGTGGCATTGCATCTGCCTCATAAGTGAAAGATCCTGAGTTCGATCCCCAGTACAAAAAGAAAAAGATGAAAACAAAGCTTTTGTACATAGGGAGGGGAGGGAGGTTGAGGGAGGGAATGGGATAAAATAAAATTTATTTTTAAAAAATTAACTCTTCAGATATTCTTTAATCTCCCTATATTACTCCTTCTTTGTTTTTTGAGGCAAGGTCTCACTTTGTAGTTCAGGCTGGCTTTGAACTCACTATGTAGCTCAGGCTGGGCTCAAACTTGTGGGGATCCTCCTGCCTCAGCCTCCCGAGTTACCGGGATTGCAGGTGTGTGCCGCCACCACACCTGGGCCTCTGGTTGCCTTTTCCTAGCTGATGGCCCTTTGATCCGGCGCCTTCCTGTCCTCATCTGCAGACAGTTAATCTAGTACCTCCCCAGCGGGCTTCTGTAGTGGGGCGTAAGCTGGCTCCGTCCAGCCTGTCCTCCATCGCGCACATTAGGGGCCCAGCCCCAGCGGAAGGGGCTGTTGGTTTCCTCACCAGACAGTACGAGTTTGAGGTTTGCTTTCTAGAAAGAGTGTCCAAGGGTGTCTCTTGTTTGATCCCACCCGAAAAGGCAGCTCAGGTCCTTTCAGCTTTCTCCCTCAGAGGCCCTCCCTTCAAGTTGGGCCCCCTCTGCCCGAGCTGCCCGCGCTGGGCACAGACGGTACTCAGCTCCTGCCCCTGGGCTGAGGCTGGGTGCTGGGTGCTGGGGCCAGGGCCGGAAGGTGGTTTCTAGCCCGGCCTGGTCTTGAGGTTCCCTTTCCCATCAGAGGTCCCCGCTGGCGGAAGTGAAGGGGAACGTCCAGCCGAAGGTGCCCCCGCCCCCGGCGCCCTCCCGACTGCCCCTCTCGGGAAGCAGGCTCAAGCGGGGTCCTGAGCCCATGGAGAGCGCCTCAGAGCCTGCCAAGGTGAGCTGGGGAGCTGGGCGCGTGTCTGGGGGGGTGTGAGGAGGGAGCCCACCGCCCTCATCTCTCCCCAGAAACGGACACGAGGCCTGGGCACAGCGCCCCAAACTGACACTTCACGCCCAAGAGCGCCTCGCCTCAGCACAGCGCCACAGCGCCACAGTCAGGCTGCAGGTGGGCGCGGGGCGGGCCGGGGCGGGGCGGGGCGGGCCTGCTCTCCACTCCCCCTTCCCCCTTCCTGGCAGCCTGCATCTATCTGCTCTGGATCAGGTAGTGATACCGCACTTGGTTCACTGTTCCAAAGGCACAAAGATCGTTAGGCAGGGACGTTTCCTTCTTGTCCTTGTGCCTTGGCTACCTAGTTCCCCTTCCCAGAGGAAACCGAGGGTCCCTCTAGGGAAGTCCTTTTTTGGGGGTGGATGGGAAGCGGGCAGTCTCACTAGGTAGCCCAGGTTGGCCCTGAACTTGATCCTTATGCTTCAGCCTCCCCAGTGCTGGGGTTACGGTGTACCCCACCACATCCGGGTCTTCAAGGGAAATTCCCTTTGTGTTCAAGCAAATATGGACATCACCCCCCTTTTCCCTACAGATAGTGTCCTTTCACACATGGTCTTGCCTCCCTCCTCATTCTACTCACGGAACTCCAACTTGCACCTTGGTTTAGGAGTCATTTCTGGTCCTAGCAGGGAGGCCAGTGAGAGCTGGCCAGACTTAGGGACAAAGGAACTTATCTTATTTCCAGTCCTCAGAAAAAGCACCTCGCTAGCTGGGCATGGTGCTGCATGCCTGTGATCTCAGCCCTCTTGGAGGATGGGGTGGGGAGAGTGTGAGTGTAAGGACGGCCTGGAGTACATAGTAAGACCCCTGTCTCCCCCACCAAAAGAAGCCCAAACGAAACACTCCTCCCTGTTCCGGCTCAGCAGTCCATGCATCCACTTTTCCTCTCCCCGTGCTGCAGCTCAGAGATTTCCCAGGAAGACAGGACCCTTCCCCCCAGCCCCAGGTAATAGCTGCTGCCGTGTGGAGGGAGGAGGGGTGGGGGACGCTGGCGCTGTCATCTCTTGTCAACGCCTCGATTCCTTAGCACCGAAGAACCAGAAGCCGGTCCCCACTGTTCCTGCCCAGAAGCCTGCCGGTAGGTGATAGACACGACCCGGGGTAGGGAAAAGTCCTCCTGTCTCCTGCCCGTGTGGCGGAGGGAGGAGAGTGAAGACTGCAGACCTCTGTGTTTCTGTGCCCATCAGCATCCGCTGCTCCTGCAGCAGGAGGCAAGAAACCCGGCAAACGTCCTGCCTGGGACCTAAAGGGCCAGTTATGCGACGTCAGGGCAGAGCTGCAGTGCTGCCGAGAGAAGACACAAACGCTGGACCGGGAGAATCAGCAGCTTCGGGACCAGCTCCAAGAGGCCCAGCAGCAGGCCCAGGCCCTGGGGGCAGAGCGCTGCAGCCTGGAGGGGGAGCTGGCCCGGGTTCAGGCCCAGGCTGAGCAGGGCCAGCGGGAGCTGGGGAGTCTGCGAGCCCGAGTCCTGGAGCTAGAGGAGCGGCTGGGCATGCAGGAGGGCTTGGTGCACATGCTGCAGAGGGAACAGCTGGAGCTGCAGGAGGAGCGGAGGACCCTGGCCACCCGGTTGGAGGAGCAGGAAGTGAGCAGCGCTCCCGATGCCAGCCCCAGTCCACTCTGCCCCTGGCCCTGGCTCACCTGTCCCTTCTCCCTGTGCCTCCTGTGTCCTGTCTCAGCCCACCCTTCCCTCCATCCTCAGGTCCCCGGCCAGTCACAAACCCTGTGGTGCGTACTCTCCTTCTCCCTGGGTCCACTGGACTTGCTGGTGGACTCCAGTGAGGCTGGATGACATGCAGACCCTTGAGTAACTCAGCTGTCCTGGCATTTTGCACATGCGCTCCCCTTTCTGGAATGTTTTTTCGGTGCAGCCCACCCTTCCCAACGTGGGTGTCAGCCTAGATAACATCTTCCTGGTTCCCCTCCTGGATAAACCCACAGCACTTTCTATCCTAGTACTGATTCCCTCTTGCCTGTCCTTCTCTTCATTTTGCAATGCTGGGATGCACCCCAGGGCTGACACATGCTAGGCAAGTGCTCTACCACTGAGCTACATCCCAGGCCCTGCTTCTGTTTTCCTGTCCTCTCTTTACCAGGCTGTGACGTCCTTGGGGCCAGGGACCCCCCCCTTACCCCGCCTTAGCCACATGATTGGTTGGTTGCATCTCACCGTCTGTGTTCCTTCTGGGCAGAGGAGGCTGCAGGCATCAGAAGCAGCTCTGTCGCATAGCCAGGCAGAGGCGGAGTCTCTGCGGCAGGAGACTGTGGCCCAGGCAGCCTTACTGGCCGAGCGAGGAGACCGGCTCCACGGGCTGGAGATGGAGCGCCGGCGGCTGCACAACCAACTACAGGAACTCAAGGGCAACATCCGGGTATTCTGCCGGGTCCGCCCTGTTCTCGCAGGGGAGCCCACCCCACCCCCTGGCTTCCTCTTGTTTCCCCCAGGCCCTGGAGGGCCCTCCGATCTCCCCACCCGCCTTAGCCTCTCGCGGTCTGATGATCGGCGCGCGACCCTGACTGGGGCGCCAGCCCCGCCTACCCGTCATGACTTCTCCTTTGACCGCGTGTTCCCACCGAAAAGTGGGCAGGACGAAGTGTTTGAAGAGATCGCCATGCTTGTCCAGTCGGCCCTGGATGGCTACCCAGTGTGCATCTTTGCCTACGGCCAGACGGGAAGTGGCAAGACCTTCACAATGGAGGGAGGGCCTGAGGGAGACCCCCAGCTGGAGGGGCTGATCCCTCGGGCCCTGCGGCATCTCTTCTCGGTGGCTGAGGAGATGAGCAGCCAAGGCTGGACTTACAGCTTTGTGGCGAGCTATGTAGAGATCTACAACGAGACTGTCCGGGACCTGCTAGCCACTGGGTCCCGCAAGGGCCAAGGGGGCGAGTGTGAGATCCGCCGGGCAGGACCCGAGAGCGAGGAGCTTACCGTCACCAATGCACGCTACGTCCCTGTCTCCTGTGAGAGAGAGGTGCAGACCCATGGCCCAGCAACTGGAGCGCGGGGGAGTGGGAGCAAGAAGGGCGGGGTGAGGGCAGCTGTGGGCCTTTAGCTGAGTCCCTTCACTGACTAAGAAGAAAGCTCCGTGGGATGGTGCTGGGCTACTGCCCTGTCTGACCTCCATGCTGACTTCTGTCTGCTTCCCCCTTGCTGCTCCCCACCTCTAGGTGCGGGCCTTACTTCGGCTGGCCCACCAGAACCGGGCCGTGGCCCGCACAGCCTACAATGAGCGGTCGTCCCGCAGCCACAGCGTGTTCCAGCTGCAGATTTCTGGGGAGCACGCTGCCCGGGGCCTGCAGTGCGGGGCTCCCCTCAACCTTGTGGACCTGGCTGGCAGTGAGCGGCTGGACCCCAGCCTGGCCCTTGGCCCGGGGGAGCGAGACCGCCTGCGGGAGACACAGGCCATCAACAGCAGCCTGTCCACCCTGGGGCTGGTCATCATGGCCCTGAGCAACAAGGTGGGACCAGGCCCAGGGCCAATTGGGGCGAACAGGGGTGGGTGGCCTGCAGAGCCCTGTGCCATCCTGACAGCCTGCTCCCTGCATCCCCCAGGAGCCCCACGTTCCCTACCGGAACAGCAAGCTCACCTACCTGCTGCAGAACTCTCTGGGCGGCAGTGCTAAGATGTGAGTGAGGAGCGCAGGTGGGAGGGAGGGGTCTGGCCCGACCCGAGATGGGGTGCAGGGAGCAGTGCTGGCCTGGCTGCTCTGCTGAGCTCAGGTGCCGGTCTCTTCACAGGCTCATGTTTGTGAACATTTCCCCCCTAGAAGAGAACGTCTCTGAGTCCCTCAACTCTCTGCGCTTTGCCTCCAAGGTGCGTTTCCCACCACACCCAGGCCCTGTTGAGACCCCTGTGGTTAGAGGCATCTCCATCCCTGCTCCTCTGTCCTCAACCGGGGGCACGTTTATCCAGAAAGGGTTACATCCACCAGGCATCTGGCACTGTGTGTGTGGTACCGGGCACGGACCCGAGTTGCACACACTAAGCTACACACCCCCCCCCAGGCCCTTTCTTTATTTTTGAGACAGGGTCTTGGTAAGTTGCCCAAACCGGCCTCAAATTTACAGCTCTCCTGCCTTAGTCTCACCAATAGCTGGGATTACAGGCTTGTACCATCACACCCAGCCACTTGACTATTGGCTTTTGAATTTTTGAAAAAATTGGTGGCTAAATGGTCAAAATGATATATTAAAAAACAAGATATATGGATATTCTTACCTCCTATGTAGATATGTACTTCTGTACTTATTTGTTTTGTGCAGCGAAACAGCCCCATGAGCCAGGTATGATGCATTGCATGTCTGTAATCCCAGCACTCTGGGAGGCTGAAGCAGGAAGATTGCACACTCAAGACCAGCCCGGGCAACTTAGTAACGCAGTAGAGCCTGCCTCAGAATAAAGTGAAAAGGACAGGGAAGGCAGCTCACTGCAAAGGCTCCGGGCTGATCCTCAGTACTGGGTGGGGGCAGGCTCAGGGCTGCACCCCATCAGCACTTGGGGCTCCTCACATTATTTTTAGGTTTGTTTGGGACCCTGGATACAGACACTGAAGTTTATCCACCAGTTCCCTCTGCTGGACACTGGGATTGTCTCCATCACTTTCTGTTATAAACAAGGCCACACCAGTGAACCTTGGCACTTGTTGCAATCTGAGTTTTCCATTACGTCCCACTTTCTAGGCCAGTGCTTTCTGAAGTGAGCTAGCGAAGCAAAGGAGGCGCACAGGGCTATCTCGAGCACCCCCCAAGGCTCAGCCTGGGCCCTTGAGTTCCCAAGGAGATTTCGCGCTCCTTCCCCTGGGCTTGAGCAAGTCAGGGAGTTTCTTTACAGCTGCAGGTGTGTGTGTAGGGGGGATCCCTTGGTCTCCCCTTTTCCCGAGGGTGGGGCTTTCCATGGGTTCTGCCTTCAATGGGGTCTGATCCGGGCTGCCTGTCCCGTGCCGGGCCTTCCCCGCCTTCAGTGCTGCTGCCGCCGCGGCCCCCGAGCCCCTCTGCTCATCCACTCTGGTCAGGTTCACCCCATGATCTGAAAGCTCAATTAAAAGGGCAGCGCTGGGTTCCCCCAGCACGCTCTTCATGCCTTGTGCCTGGTAAGCACGTGCTGCACCACTGACCCTAACTTTTTATTAACATTATGTTAACACCAGGACTGTATTTTACACATTAGGTTTGTTCAAATTCAAGTCAGGATGCCAGGGAGGGCCACTCGGTTCGGTTGGAACATCGCAAGTTTATTTTAATCTGTAACAGGCCTCTCACTTCTCTTCTATACTTGCTGAAGAAGTAAGGTCCCGTCTCCCAGTGAGTCCACCACGGTCTCGGTTTTGACTGGTTGCTTCCTCTCCCCTCATACTTTTTTTACCTAGTAGTTAGATTGAGAGGTTTGGTTAAATCTTAAATTCTAGGTTAAATTTCTTGGCAAGAAAAGTTAGTAGATAGTACACTTCTTGTCCTGTCATACCAGAAAGCACCTAGCATCCAGTTCTGCTTTTTTGGTCTCTTGTTGTTATGACAGGGTCTTGCTGTGTAATCCAGGCTGGCATTGAACTCACAGCAGTCCTCTGGCCTCATGGATTACAGGCCTGGATGCCCAGCTAGTTCTACTTCTATCTTTGATTTGTTTTTGTATTTTTTTTGGGTACCAGGGATCAAACTTGGGTCCTTGCACTTGTGGGCCAGGCAGCGGAACCACTGAGCTAAATCCCCAGCCCTGTTTTTGTTTTTTTGAGACAGGGTCTTGGGGCCCGGGATTTCTCTCAGTGGTTCCACTGCCTGCCTAGCAAGCGTAAGGTTCCAAGTTCGATCCCCTGTACCAAAAAAAAAAGAGAGATAGGGTCTCACTGTGTAGTTCAGGCTGGCCTCAAACTCACAGGAATCCTCTTGCCTCAGCCTCCAAGCCCTGGGATTACAGGCTTGTGACATGCCTGGCTCTGCTTCTGATACAAATACTGATCGTCAGATTTGGGTGTTATCAACCTGATCCATTTAAAAGCTCAGTTGAAGGGCTGGAGATTTAGCTCAGTGGCACTGAACCTGCCTTAAAAGCGCAGGGTCCTGAGTTCCATCCCTGGAACAAAAAAAAACCCTCAGTTGACTTTCACCCTAATTATAACAAATGATGATCATATCTAGATCTATTTCACATTAAAATGGTTATTTTCTAATTTTAGTTCTCCATTGGTAATATTTTCTAGTCTATTGCACAATAGCATTGTCTTTAAAAAGTATATATAAGGCCAGAGATTTACCTCAGTGGTTCTGCCACCTGCCTCGAAAGCGCAAGGTCCTGAGTTTGATCCCCAGTACAAAAAAAAAAAAGTATATACCTTAACTAAAAAATATTTTGCTAGAAAGCAAAAGTGGTAACAATCACCTGATCTGTTGAAAAAATGGCACCAGTAGACTTCCTTGATGTAGGATTGCCACAAACCTTCTCTTTGTAAAAAAACAACACATTCTCTGTGAAGTGCAGTAATGCAGTAAAATGAGGCATGCCTGTATTTGGTTACTCTGAGATTCGGCCCATATAAGAAAAGAAAGATGCAAGATTCTGTTTTAATTCTCAGCGCTGAGTTGATATCCCAGCAACTGGAAAGACTTGCGTTTTATGGGGGTGAGGGTACCATTTTACAGATGCTTCTATATTTCATGTACCAATCTTACGGTCATTCTTTCTCATATTCAGATTGCTCCACTTTTGGCCATAAAATGGTACCCTCACCCCCATAAAACTCAAGTCTTTCCAGTTGCTGGGATAGCAACTCAGCGCTGAGAATTAAAACAGAATCTTGCATCTTTCTTTTCTTATATGGGCCGAATCTCAGAGTAACCAAATACAGGCATGCCTCATTTTACTGCATTACTGCACTTCAGTTTTTGGGTGGTGGTGGGGATCGAGCCCAGGGCCTTCCACATGCTAGGCTGCATCCCCAACCTGTATGTCCTTTTTTGACCTTACCCAGAGTTGAACCCAGGACCTTCTCGTGGAGCCACGCCCCCAGCCCTTTAACACCAAATTGAGACAGGTTTTTCTAAATCATTACATTGCCCTGGCTGGGTTCCAACTTGTGATCTTCCTGCCTCAGCCCCCCGGAGTGCTCAGGTTACAGCCATGTGCTATTGTGCTGGACTGTTTTTGCATCCTTTAAACAACCCTAGTAGTGTGTTTCAGATTCCTCTTATTCCTTGCCTCCTCCAGACTTGGGATGAGCCCCAGTTCCTGAATGCACATTAGTATTTTGTCTAGGCTGTTTTAGAATGGGAGGGCTTTGGGGTCTCCAGTCAGGGAATTGCCAGAGATGGGACCCCTCGGTGCTTCTCTGTCTTCCTAGTAGAGATACCTTTTCTGTCTTCCATCTCTTCTGGGCTTTCCTGATTCCTCCAGACCTAGAAGCTGTAGTAGAGCTAACTGCAGAGGGAGCAGCTGAACTTGGGAAAGTTGTTCTCAGGGTTACTCTGCAAACTTAAAACTCCTGTCTAACCTCTTGTCCCCAGGTGAACCAGTGTGTTATTGGTACTGCTCAGGCCAACAAGAGGTGAAGATGGATCCAGATCTTCTATGTGTTTTGTCTGTGTGTCTGTACTGGGAGGGGACAGATTTCTGAGGGAGGATTTGGTGGGTGAAGGCCGCTATATACTTGGCTTATCAAATAAAGAACGGTGCCGGGCGTGGTGGCACACACCTGTGATCCCAGCACGTGGGAAGCTGAGGCAGGAGGATCGCCACGAATCTAAGGCCAGCCTGCATTACATAGTGAGCTCAAGACCAGCCTGGACTACGCATGGAGACCCTGTCTCAAAAAACAAAAATATTAGTTGCTTCCCCCCACCCCCGCCAGTTGCTCTTTAAATAAAGGTTTTATTAGCAGTTGCCAGAGGAGGAAGGCATTTTTTCCGTGTGAAGAGGGGAGGTGCGGGTCTGTGCCCTCTGCTACCCATTTGTTCTTCGGGGTGAGGGCGTGGGCTTCGATCCCTCCAGCTCTCACCTGGTCTAGACCTCTTCCCCTCTGCTATGGCCCTTGCCCATCCCTGAGAGCAGGTGACCTTCCATCCCGGCCCGCCCCTGCGCCAGCGCGCGCTCCCCCAGCGCCTTCCCGTTCCAACCGCCAGGGCCCTGCCCGCCCACTGCCCGCCCACTGCCCATTGGCTGGCGCTCGGCGGCGTCATGCCTCAGGTACTGGCCCTCCACGTCCTCGCACCGCCCCGGAGATGGCAGCGGGCGGGGAGAGCGCCGAGGCCCCAGCGCCACGGGCCGAGGCCGCCGCCCGGTAGAGGTGGGGCTCGGGCTTCCCAGGTGCTGTGCGCGGGAGGGGCCGCGCATGCGCAGAAGCCCAGCAGCGGCGTTGGGGGTGGGTGGGCTAGCCCAGAGGGGGCGGAACCGAAGCGAGGGGAAGGGCGAGAGGGGGCGGGGCTAAGGCATGGGCGGGGCTTGCGGGTCGTAGGGGGGCGGCTAACGGATGGGGCGCGGGCGGGGGCCGGGCACCGGGAGGAATTCCGTCCCGCCCCGGGGCGATCTCCCAGTGGAGGAGGGGGCTGCGGGGATGCCCTCGCCCTCCCGCGCTCCGCTTGCCGAGCCCGCCACCGCCCGCCCGCGCCCTCCGGGCTGGCGGAGGTGAGGGAGGTGGGGTGAGGTGGCGCCCGCCCCCCGTCCGGCTCCTCCCTCCCCGCCCGTGCTCCCCGCCCCCTCCACCCCCCGCCGGTCGGTCCCTCCCCTCCCTCTCCCCGCCGCCTCCTCCCGCCGCCGTCGCTGCTTTGGCTGCTGCGTCATACGCCCCAGAGTCGCCAGGACGGAGGGGCTGGGCCCGGGGACCCCCTGGCCTCCGCCCGCGAGCCCCTCGGCGCCCCGACGTGCCCTCCCCGCACGCGGGGCTCGCCCAGGTCCCAGGCGTCTGCCCCTGCCCGGCTGCCGGACGCCCCAGCTGTCACCGGTAAGGAGGCGGCGGGAGGCGCCGTGGGGCGCAGGACCGGGGGCGGAGCGGGCGCGGGCGGGAGAGCCACGCCACCCAGCCTGAGGCCGGGCCGGGCCGGGCCGGGCCAGGCCGCTGAGCCGACGGCCGGCCGAGTCCCTCCTCGGACTTGCCGTGCAGTGGTGGGGAGTAGAGACTGGGACGGGGACACGCCCCCCTCCCGGGCACTCAGGGAAGTTGTCTACCCAGGGCCAGGGCGCCCCTAATTTGAGGGTGACCTGACATAACCTGGCACCAGGAGAATTGTCCTGAAGGAGACGTGCAGGCCCCGGGAGCCAGCCACTTCTAGTCTGGAAAACGTCTGCAGAAAAGCTCCCCCAACATCTCTGGGCGGCAGAGCAGAGCACCCTAATCCTGCTACCTCTGAGCAGCTGTGTGTAACCCTTGCTCTGCAACCATCATTCCTCCTAGGACCCCCAGGCAGGATTTCCTATCCCAGGAGAGCTCTGGGAGCTGGGAAACTGAGAAGTGGGTTGGAGGGAGGTGAAAGAGGAGAACGGTGAGCAGAGCTGGAAGAGCGGGAGGCAGGAAGCTGGGCTGGAGGTGCAGGTGCTTAGTCCTTGACAGAAAAGCAGGGACGCTTCCTCAGCCTTCCTAACCACTTCTTCTCCCTCACTTCGGGCTAGGCCCCCCCAGGATGCAATGGCGCAGCCCCCCCGGCTGAGCCGCTCCGGAGCCCCCTCTCTTTGGGACCCCGCTTCTTCTGCTCCCACCTCGGGCCCCAGGCCTCGACTTTGGGAGGGGCAGGATGTCCTGGCCAGATGGACTGATGGGCTGCTGTACTTGGGCACCGTCAAGAAGGTGAGCCCAAGCTGTGCTCTCACCTGCTCCCCGGCCCTCTGCACACCTGGCTCCCATTGCATCCTGTGCTCGCCCTTCCAGGTGGACAGCGCCCGGGAGGTGTGTCTGGTCCAGTTTGAGGACGATTCCCAGTTTCTGGTTCTGTGGAAAGACATCAGCCCTGGTGAGGCCCTAAAGCCCCAAGGCTGTGCGGAAGTAGAAACCCAGCTTCCGGGTGGCACAGGGCGCTGGGAGGCCTCCTGACACCGTGTTCCCTTGCAGCTGCCCTCCCTGGGGAGGAGCTCCTCTGCTGTGTCTGTCGCTCTGAGAATGTGGTTCCTGGGAACCGGCTGGTCAGCTGTGAAAAGTGTCGCCATGGTGAGAGGGCAGGGTGCCTCAGTGGTCCAGTTTGCCCTGGACCTTCCAGGATGCCACTTGCCTTCCCTGTAGCACTGGTCCTTCTGTCCCCCATGCTGACCTGACACTCAGGCCACCACTCTGTCCAGTCGCCTCACCCCTGCGACCTCATCCCCTTCCGGCACAGGAAGAAGCGGCCGTAGGATGAGGCGGTGTAAGCTTTGCAGGCAGAAGGTAGCTCACATACCCCTTTCCTAACCGTAGGACCTGGGGAAGTCCCTCAGCCTCCTGGAGCTTCGGCTCCCTTGTACGATCAGGCTGATGCTCCCACCCCAGTAGGTTGCCCGGGTTAGATACGACGGGCAAGACTACTCCTACCTCGGAGTACTGGCACCCCAGTAAGTGCTCTGTGTCAACACTGTCATTCAGCTTATCACCAGGACTGCCACGTTCCCAGGGCCCCGGCCCCTGGAGAAGGAGAGGGCGCATCCTGGGTCTGCCGCCAGTGTGTCTTTGCCATCGCCACCAAGGTAAAGGCACCTTTCTGTGCCCCTTGGCGCCCTGCTGGAACCCCCCGCCTCCCCAAGCCTCTTCTCCCACCTCCCTAAGGCTTCCCGCCCGCTCTTCCTCTGCAGAGGGGGGGTGCGCTGAAGAAGGGTCCCTATGCCCGGGCCATGCTGGGCATGAAGCTGTCTCTGCCATATGGATTGAAGGGGCTGGACTGGGACGCCGGGCACCTGAGCAACCGGCAGCAGAGCTACTGTTACTGTGGTGGCCCTGGGGAGTGAGTAATGAGAGGCCGAAGACCCCCAGGAAGGGGAGGAGAGAGAAGAGGGTGAGGGTGGCCCTGGGGGTGGGCGTTGACGGGAAGGTGGGGTCTTGGAGCCCACTAGTCCCGCATCCCCCCCAGGTGGAACCTGAAGATGCTGCAGTGCCGGAGCTGCCTGCAGTGGTTCCATGAGGCCTGCACCCAGTGTCTGAGCAAGCCCCTCCTGTACGGGGACAGGTGAGCCCGGGTGGGCGCCCCAAGACCCTGCCCAGCTTCAGGTCCCCGCCCACACCCTCCGCCCTCACCTGTGTGCTGGGTGTCAGTCCTACATGGCAGGTTTAGTTCGCCCCAACAAGATGTGTTCTCCCTCCCGCCTACGCGCAGGTTCTATGAGTTCGAATGCTGTGTGTGCCTCGGGGGCCCCGAGAAGGTCCGGAGGCTGCAGCTTCGCTGGTGAGCGGTGTGGGGCGCACCCAGTCCAGTGTTCACCCTCCACGCCCAGCTGCCCGCCTCGGACTTCCTGGCTCCTGTAACACTTCCGAGGCCTTGACAGGATGATGTTGCTCTAGGGTGGACGTGGCCCATCTTGTCCTCTATCATCTCAGTGTCTGCTGTAAGAAGAAATATTTCGACTTTGACCGTGAGATCCTGCCCTTCACCTCTGAGAACTGGGATAGTCTGCTCCTGGGCGAGGTAAGGGAAGTGTAGTCCTCCGGGTCGGGTGGGACAGGGTGCAGGAGAGGGAAGGGAGGGCCTCTATGCTCCAACCCCATTTATCTTCTGTTCCCCAGCTTTCAGACACCCCCAAGGGAGAACGTTCTTCCAAACTCCTCTCTGCTCTTAACAGCCACAAAGACCGGTGAGTGGAGGGAGGAGAAGGCCAGGGAGAGACTCAGACGCCGAGGGGCTGCAGCCCACCTGGCTGACCTGCTCGTCAAGAGGGTGACCTTTTCTGCAGCCCTGAGCCTGTGTCATTTTCCTCTGTGCCCCAGTTTCATTTCAGGGAGAGAGATTAAGAAGAGGAAATGCTTGTTTGGTCTCCACGCGAGGGCCCCTCCTCCTGTGGAGCACCCTCACGGAGATGGAGCCCCCACCAGGTCACTGGCCCAGGGAAGACGGGCTGGTCTGGGGAGGTCTTTGGGGTGTCGGGGAGGGGGCTGGGGGGATAAGGAGGCCTCTTACAGCTTCCCTTCAGGGCAGGGCCCTGGGGGAGGGGTCTCACGTCCCCTGGGGAAGCGACGGAGGCCGGAGCCAGAGCCCCTGAGGAGGAGGCAGAAGGAGAAGGTGGAAGAGCTGGGGCCGCCCTCGGCAGTGCACAACCAGCCCGAGTCCCGGCAGCAGAGGGAGCGGGCTCAGCTGCAGGGGGCGCTGCAGGTACAGGGGCCAGGGGAAAGCCCTCGGGCGCAGGGTGGGGTGGGGAAGGAACCAGAGGTGACCTCTCAGTCCTCTGCTCCTTCTCCTAGGCCTCAGTGTCTCCATCACCCTCCAGCCCTGACCAGAGTTACCAGGGCGGCAGCGGCTACAACTTCCGGCCCACAGACGCCCGCTGTCTGCCCAGGTCAGTGCTCCATTACCGATGATGTCCTCCGGACCTTGTTGCTTGGAATTCTCTTCCCTTCCTTCCTTGGCTGCTCACTCCTGTGTCCCAGAGAGTCTTCTAGGACAATGTTTATTGCCCAGAGTTCTGGGGACAGTTACCTTGAGGGCAGTGTTGAACTCTGCCCTTCCCAGAGGACATCTTGGCCCCCTGTCCTGGTCCTGACTTCCCTCCTCCTGACCCCAGCAGCCCCATCCGGATGTTCGCTTCCTTCCACCCCTCTGCCAGCACCGCAGGGACCTCTGGGGACAGTGAACCCCCAGACAGGTGAGATTCTCTCATTGCCTGGATGCCCCTGTCCCTCTGTGGTCTTGAGTTCCTTGTCTCGAAGCATCTCTTCATCCCTCTGACCCTCAGTGTCTGTCTGGTCTGACGATTACCTTCTCCCGCTAGGTCACCCCTTGAACTCCACATCGGCTTCCCCACAGACATCCCTAAAAGCACCCCCTCCTCGATGACTGCCTCTCCTTCCTCAGGCTCAGGCCCAGCCCCCTCCCCAGGCCTTCCCAGACGCTCCACACTCCCTTCTCCCTTGTGCCGTGGTTTGTCTCCAGGGACTGGGGGAGGAGTCCGAGGTGGGGTTGGCTACCTGTCCCGAGGGGACCCCGTCCGGGTCCTTGCTCGGCGAGTACGACCTGATGGCTCTGTGCAGTACCTAGTAGAGTGGGGAGGAGGGGGCATCTTCTGAGCAGCCTGCCCGGCAGCTCCCCACTCACACCTGCCGGCACTTTGGAGCCCTGACCTCAGAGCTCACCTGCAGCTGGGATGTAGCTGGAGACAGGGAGTGTTCTCCTGACTGCCAGGCTGGGACCCAGAGGGTGACGGGGAAGAGGCTCTTCACCCCTTCACCATTCCTGACCCCTCATCCTTCGTCCCATTTCCTTTGATGTTATTTTGTTACAGCTTTTTAAATATTTTTTAAAACTATTTAACCCCTGGGTGCAGAGACTGAGGAGGGGGGATGATAAGGGATCCCGGATTCTGTATGACTGAAATAAAAACAACTAGAAATAACATGGCTGTGAGTCATTGTGAAAGATGGATGGAAGGGCCGGGGATGTAGCTCAGTGGTTTCACCGCCTGCTGCGCAAGCGCAAGGACCCGAGTTCGATCCCCGGTACCAAAATAAATAAATAAAATAAATAAATAAAAAAAAAAGATGGATGGAATACAGGGCTAAAAGCACTTGAGATCTTACTCAACCAAATAAGCATATGTAACAAGGAAAAAAGACAAAAGGCAGAAAGAACCAAGACAGGATTTACTGGGGGCTTGGACGTCATGGGAAGACAGGGCACTGCAGTGTGAGGGGTCCGTGCCAAGGACGCTCATCATGGCACAGCCGTGCTGGAATCGGAAAGGGACTCTGTGACCTGGCGCACCCAGTGCAGGTACGCGGCGTTCCCCTGCTCTACAGGCAATGCAATCACCTCTGCCACTTCGTAAGGGTGCACAGAACTGCGAAAGTGACAGAGAAAGAGTTATACAAACACCCAAAGGAGCCCCCTCAGATAAGCAAGTCCCCACTGTACACCCTGCTCATCTTTCTCCAAGTTCTTACCGGACAAAATCTGTCAAAGCTGGGACCAGCGAACTTTGGGTTTTAATCATCTAGGGGGAAAATACAAACACGGCCGAATCAGGGTAGTAGTGATCTCAGAGGAGGGGCAGGGCCGGAGGGATCGGAGATGAAGTCTGCTTGAGTAGGAGAATGTTTCTCACCATCAGCACCTCGCTGTCTTCCTCGATCTTTCCTTTCCACTCATAGCTGAAGAGATGAGAGAAAAAGGGGGAAAGTGCTGGGAAGCAAAGACTCCCAGAGGAAAAGTCTCCGTCAGCCCCTCGACTTACATGGACGTGATCTGGGGGATGAGGTTCACGCAGGCTGCCAGGCGCTTCTCCACCACGGCCCTAAAGGCGAAGGAGACCCCCAGTGAGAGCGCCCAGGGCCCGACTCTGGCAGCCCTGAGCCAGGCTTTGCAAAGCTGGAGCCCAGGAAGCGGCCCTCGTCTCCTAACCCCCACCTGGCGATCTCCTTGGCGACCTTCTCATTGGGACAAGTGACAAAGGCTGCGGACACCGATCCTGGGACGTAGCCAGAGCCCGAGGCCGGGGAGGGCTGGGACGGGGGACTTCCAGACGCCATGGACAGCAGGGCCCTGGGCAGCGAAAGAAGGCGGAAGGCTCCAGGTAGCAGAGCTGGCATCCAGAGAAGCGACAGGAGCAGAGCGGCCTGGGAGCAGGGGGCAAATCCGGTCTCTGCCCACAGACACCTCGGGAAACGGCACCCCGGGGAGCCTTCGCTTGGCCAGACCCTCAGGTTCTGCCCTCCCGCTTCTGCACCCGAAAGCAAAATGTCCCTGACACTGGTAGAGAAACTTGGAAAATGAAGCCCCAGCCTCGGTTTTCACCCGGGGATTCGGAACGCGGGTCCAGGTTTAGAGGACCGGAAGGGGCGGGGCAGACCGGGCACTCACCCCTCCGCCGAGGAGGGCTGCGGGCGGTCGCGCCTCCCTCATGCAGCCTATGCTGGTAGAGGAGGCGTGATAGCAAAGGTCACACGTTAGGCAAGAAAGGACCCCAAGCCCAGGAAGGGCGGCCTCTTCTTACCTGGATGGCAGCCACGTGACAAGAAAACAGCACACCACGTGACAGTACAGCCCGCTCACGGAGTCTCCAGAGCCAGCCAATCCCGACGCTCACGTGGCCCGGATTTCCCCGCCTCCTTATGGGGCGGGGAAAAGAGCGATTGGAGCAAGTGGTAGCCGGATCTGCAGAAGTGCGTGGAAACGGCACCCCCACTTCCGAAACGCCCGGCTGCTGGCTGAGGAGAGCCGCTGCGGCGGCCCCCTGTCACGTGACGGGACCGAGTCCCTCTGGCGGTGCTACTTCGGGGCGTGGCGCGAAGAGGCCAATCGCGGGGAGGCCCCGCAGGCCACGTGACGGGAGAGCCTGCGCTGGGCAAGGGGGGCTGGAGTCGCCGTAGACTGGATGCGTCAGGCTGTGGGGGGGAGAATCGTCCCTAAGCCCCAAAATGTGCCTAGCAACAGCCCCTACCCCATTTCCCGCAGGGGTGGGCGGGTCTGGAAGCCTGAACCTCGCGTGCGCAGAGAGCGCCCCTGCCCGTTCAATTAGGACTGAGTGTACCACCCGGGATGGGGAATGAGCAAGGCTGCGCTGAGAAGCCAGCTGTCCCTGGGCAGGGGCAGTGATTAGCCGAGACACAGGCAAGGCATGACAATGGAGGTGAGGGAGGATGAACTTTTTTTTTTTTTTGAGACAGGTTCTCGTTATATTGTTCAGGTTGCCCTTGAACTCACTATGTATCCCAGGCTGGCCTGGAACTCATGGCCTCGATCCTCCTGCCTCAGCCTCCCGAGTGCTGAGACTGCAGGCGTGCGCCACCACGCCTGGCTCTAGGAAGGGTGCATTTCTAAAGCACTGGGCGAGGCCCTGTACATGGGATACAGGTTGATCAAAACTTCACTGAAAATCCAAAACTTGAAACGGTGAATTGGAGGGAAGGACAGAAGCGCAGTGATGACGGTTCTGTGCCCTCTCCCTGCCTGCCCCGCTGCCCGGGACTGGGTCACCTCTGATCTTGGGGCTCCTTCCCTTAACCCATCCCCCAGGAGCCTACATAACCTCCCTGGGGCCCAAGCACATCCAGTGACCCAAAAATGCAGAGAGGGGCCAGGGCGAGGCCGGAGGAGTGCGAGGAGGCGCAGAGACAAAGGCTGTGCTACCCAACACCCAAAAGTTCTGGGGTCCCTGGGTGGCGGCGTGACTGGGAGCCTCCTAGGCTGTCAGGGTTCTTTCGCTTTTACCTTGCTGGAGTTGGGGAGGGTCCCAGGTCTCTGTCTGCATCTGCGGTTTGTCTCTGAGACATCGTGGGGGGTTCGCTGCCAGTGCTGGGATCTTTCTCAGGGCTGAGTTATTTTCCTGTTGCCTTGGGAGGTTCTGTGTTTTGGGCTTTGACGGTCACGCTCTCGGGGGTCTTTCACATTTTATGAGTTTTGGGTCTCTGGGTCTGCCGCTGGGGTGTGGGTTTCTGCCTGGCTGTCTCCCCGAGACTGGAGTCTGTCTCTGAGTCGGTCTACGGCTTCTTTTCTCTATGATCCGAGCCTGGGCTCCCTCAGGTCTCCCTGGGTCTGAGTTACAAGGTCTAAGTCTAGGTCTGGGACTTTCTAATCTGGTTTTCATCTTTTGCTTTAAGTCTAGTCTCAGGTCTTGATCCTTGAAATCATCACCACGGGGTCTAAAGTCTTAAGATTTCTGTGGCTCTGAAGAACCGTTTGGAGCCTGGATCCTCACACTGCCATCTGGATTGGGGGGCCCGGGGTCTTCATCTGTGAGGTGGCGTTCTCGTTTCCTCTGTTGGGGCCTGGGTCTCACCCTGCTGTGCGTGGGGCTGAGGTACCCTGGGGGTCTGGGGTCTGTCCCTCCCTCCTCGGGTCTGGGGTCTGCCTCCCGGGACCACTGCCGGCTGCGCCGGCCGGGGTCCCTCGCTCCCCCCTCTCCCCCCCGGGTCTCCCGAGCAGGGGGGGCTGCAGTCTCTCCCTCCTCCTCCTCCTGCTCTCTTCTCTCGCGCTGGCTTCCCCCGCCCCCCTCTCTCTCTCGGCTGCCGCTGCTGCCGTTGGCTCTCATTCTCCTCCTCCTCCTCTTCTCTCCTCCTCTCGCTCCTCTCTGCTCCTCTCTCCTCCTCTCTCCTCCTCCTCCTCCACCTCCTCCTCCTCCTCCCCCTCTCTCCCCCTCTCTCGCTCCTCTTTCTCCCCGTCCCCCGCCCCCTCCCCCCGGCCTGATGAGCAGGTCTCGCGCCTCCATCCACCGGGGGAGCATCCCCGCGATGTCCTATGCCCCCTTCCGAGGTACGCGGCGGGGGAGGGGGAGGGCCGGCGGGGGCAGCAGGGGGAGGGGCCGGGGGCGGGGGCGGCCGGGAGCGGCTAGAATGGAGGGAGAGGGGAGGACCGGGAAGGCAGGGGTTGGCGGCTGGAGGGAGAGGGGCAGGTAAGGGGCCAAGGGGCCAGGAAACAGGCCTGGGAGGGGAAAGGGCGCTGGAGGGCTGGGAGGCGGACGGGCTGGGTTGGGGAAGAGCTGCATTCCCATTTGGAGGTGCGGGCTAAGCGGTGAGGAAAGCAGCCAGGAAACAGAGCCAGCCTTAGCAGAGACTGGGGGGGAAATGAAAATATAGGGGAGACGACCAGAAGCCAAGAAGACGGGGGGCGAATATGGTGGGGGACTCACAGAATGGTAGGGATTAGGAAAAGAGGAGGATGGAGAGAAGGGGCCAGATGGAGAGAGAGGGAGGCAGTGGGGGGGTGGAGGTCCAGATGGAGGGAAGAGAAGAGAGGCAAGGGCTGGGGGAGGGGAGGGGAGGCCAGGGCAGGGGGAGGGCAGATGAGGTGTGTGGTTTGCGGGGAGGGGGCGACGCACGTTAGACTGAGTGTCGGGAGCAGAGGCAGCTTAAGATCCCGCCCGGGACTCTAACGCTCAGGGAGGCTCTTGACAAGTGAAATGCACCCTCTGGATCTTAATCTGCTTTCTTCACTTCACCACTTAAGCCCCTCCCCCAATCCTTCTTTCCATTCCCCCTCCCTTCCTCTGCTGTCCATCACCTATATCTTTCCCCCCATATGGTGTCCGTTCCTTATATGAGTCCCCCTTCTGTGCTTCCCCTATATCAGTCCCCTCTCTGATAGCCATTCCATCTGTTTCGCTCTGCTGTCTGGGAGCCACCTCTCCACTGCTCCTTCTTGACCACATGTCTCAGTCTCCCATCAGGAGGACCTCCTTGTCTCTTCTGCTTCGTTGTCTGGTTGAGCCCTTCTGGAGCATTCCCGTGTCCCTAGGAGTTTACCACAGTCTCTGTTTTCTGATACATCCAATCTGTTTATCTACCCCCTGGCCCAGCCTGTTTCCTGCCCCATGTTGTCACTCTCTGTGTGCTTTCCCTCAGTACCCCAGTCTTTATCGCCATTCCTCCACTACTCCTTGTCTCCACTACTCCTAGAGTGGAGACTTGGTGTGCAAAGATACTGAAGTTTTGATGGTTGGGCTGGGAGCTATAAGGGCTCCCCATCTGAGCCTTTGTGGGGCATCTCATTCTAGTACATTTTCTCCCTGTATCAGCCATGTTCCTCAGCGTCTGGGATCAATATCATTCTCTCCTAAGTCCTGACCGTGTGTGTGCGCGTGTGCGTGTGCGTGTGTGTGTGTGTGTGTGTGTGTGGGTGTGTGTTTCTAGAGTTGCTGGTAAGCTCCATATATCCTTCCTGTTCCCAGGAGAAAGGTGGCCCTAAAGTCTAAAATGCTTGCTTCTCTGAGCTGCAGCCTGCACCCCTTTCTGCTGTGTGTACCCTGCCTGGATTTCCCTGTGGGTGTGCAGAGCCCAGGTGCTATGTCTGCAGTCTCGGGTCTAGGTATCAGTGATCTCTGTATGGAGTCGAGTAGAGTCTCTGAGATGGCATTGAGACAGGGAAAGTTTCGAAGGATTGTGGTTTCTAGGCATGTTCTGTGGGCTCATCTCACTGTGCTGAGCAGGCTGGACAGATCTGGGGAACGTGTTTGTAAATAGAAAGAGGCTGGATTTTTCCCAGCTCTGCTAGGGCTTTCTACTGGAATGGAGCTCAGAGGCCATTTGTGCAGTCCGGTCATGTTAACTGTCCCAGGAAGCGGACAGAATTGGATGTTTCTTCCTTTACACCTTCTCTTATTCTGATACCCTAGGCCTAATTTCTGTCACTTTAATGTCACCAGTCTGACTCCTCACTCACTTCTCCAGGACCTGGGCCCATGTGTTCCTCTGATCTTGTGTGGCAGTGGGGCTTAAAGGAGAGCAGTTTCGGGGAGGCACAAGAACAGCAGAGATGGGGAAGGGACTCACCGGGCCTGGGGGGCTGCCACCCGGTCCATGGGAACTAGCGGGGAGGGCGCTACCGAGAGCTCAGTCTGGTCGCTGTTCATTGAAACATGGGTGTATTTCCTACCTTCTTCCACTCTGGCCCCTCCCCAGCCAGATCTCGACCAAATCCATCTTCTCCCTCCCACCAGAAGAACCAGAACTTTCCACAAAAGATGAGCAGAGCAGGACCAGAAGGGCCAGGAGGGAGGCAGTCTCCTATCTCTGGCTCTGAGAACAGTAACTTGACTTCCTCTCCACCAGATGTTTAGCTCTCAGATCTCATGGCCCAACTCTTTACACACGCACACCCTTCTTTCCCACAGCTGTTTAGGTTTCCGCTTACTCTCACAGGTGGGAGATGCCACCTTCTAGGTCCATCTTCTGCAGTTATCTGAATGCCCTCCCTCTTCCCAAACACCCGCCACCAACCTGTGTGTTGTTCCTTCTGGCAGTTTTGCTGCACCGCCACCTTTATGCTCCTTTCCCTTTCCCTGTCCCGGTCGGGTCCCTCTGCCACGATGAAGCACCTCCCGCAGTCTTCTCCTCTGTAGTCTCCCCTTGGGTCTGCAGCGCCTCCGTGACCCCTCTTCTCCCCAGCTGTGAAGGCTTTGTTGCTGGGCCTTGATAACTGCCGAGAGTCTCACCCTCAACTGTGACCCTCTCAAGGCGGGTGGGACTCCCCTCTCCCATGTTGTGGACTCTCTTCTCGCCATTTTAGACCTGCTCCCAGATGCACCGAGCCTCCCTTACTGTTTCTGTGTGTCTCTGTCCCCCAGATGTACGGGGACCCCCTATGCACCGAACCCAATACGTTCATTCCCCGTATGATCGTCCTGGTTGGAACCCTCGGTTCTGCATCA